ATACTAGTTTTGTGAATCTTATTATGTTAGGTTCATTTATGTTCCTGCACCTCATACTAGTGAAAACCTTTGTGGTGCATTGGTTGAATGTTTGATGGATTGGAACATTGATTCAAAATTGTCTACTATCACTTTGGACAATTGTAGCACAAATGATGCAATGATTGATAAAATTAAGGCTAAGTTGAAACCAGAGACATTATTAAGGGACGGGGCCTTACTTCATATGCGTTGTTGTGCACATATACTAAATTTGATAGTAAAAGAAGGGTTAGAAGTTGTGAAAGATGGAATAGAGATGATTCGAGACAGCGTTGCATTTTGGACAGCAACTCCTAAAAGGAAGGAACGGTTTGAGGAGACATGTAAACAATTAAAAATACCTTGCACCAAGAATTTAGTTTTAGATTGTCCAACTAGATGGAATTCTACCTATAAGATGCTTGATGTTTCTATTTTGTATGAAGAGGTATTTGATAGATTAGCAATCCGTGTAACTCAGTACACTTGTTTGCCAACAACTTTACATTGGAAATTTGCAAAAGAGATTTGTGTAAAATTGAAATTGTTCAATTCTATCACTGAAGTGTTTTCTGGAACTAAGTATCCAACTACCAATGAATACTTCCCTAAGATTTGTCAGATTAAAGTTTCATTACTTGAGTGGATTGAATCCTCTGACGAATTGGTAAAAAGAATGGCAGAAAATATGTTGGTAAAGTTTGAAAAATATTGGAGTGTGATTCATGAAATAATGGGGGTTGCTGCTGTTTTGGATCCTAGGTATAAAACTGATTTACTTGAATATTATTATGGAGTGTTCTATGGGAATGATGTTGATTCCCAAGTTAAGTCAATCAGACAGTTGTGTTACGAGTTAGTTTATGATTATCAATTAAAAATGAACAAGGATTCTAGAAGTGAATCTGAAATGTTGGATGCTAATGTTGGAAATGTTAGTAATGATGGTTTGAAAGACTATGATTTGTATGTCATAAGAAAAAAAAGAGCTAGAACTTCATCTGTTAAAACAGAGTTGGATGTTTATTTGGAAGATGAAGTTTTACCAAGAAGTCCAGATTTTGATATTTTATTATGGTGGAAGTTGAATGGGATTAAGTATCCAACACTTCAAGCAATTGCAAGGGATGTATTGGCAATTCCTGTTTCTACCGTGGCTTCTGAATCCGCATTTAGTACAAGTGGTCATATCGTAAGCCCTCATCGAAGTCGACTTCATTGGACCACTTTAGAAGCTTTGATGTGTGCAAGAAGTTGGTTATGGAGTGCTGAGAATAATGGTAAAGATCTTTCTTGTTTATATTTTTTATTTTTACTTGCCAAGACTATCATTGACTATATTTTACTATATTGATAGGTAATTTGAAATCTAACGTGGGAAATGAAAATGCTATTTTACTAACTGAAATGGAGTCTGATGATGAAGGTATTATTCATACTATTTGTATTAAATTTGTCAAGTTAAATTTTTATATTTTAACTTTTATTTTTTAACACAGGTGAGTTGTTGATTGATGGTGCTACTTCTATTTCCAACTCCCGCCTCGAAGATGAAGATTATTAGAAAATTTGTTGTTTATTTGGATCTTTTTTTGTTATGATGATATCGTATATTTTGTTCCATGTTGTTGGAATGGTTATTTTGTTCCATGTTGTTGGAATGGTTCTTTTGTTGATTGTATTGTTTTAATTTTGTATTTGTACTTTGCAAAAAAAATGTTGGTTGTTGGGAGTGATTTATACTTTGATATATTGAAAGATTACACTCTTTTAATGAATCACAAGTTCACAACCAATTATAGTTGATTGAAGGGTTAGGATAGAAAAATATTTGGAATGGTGTTTGAATATTAAATCCTACAATTATTTACTCAAATCAATGGCGAATTTTATATTTTTAATGTATTTGTTAATGCTGTCCAGGAAATTTGTGAAAAAAATAGATATTTTTTTATTTAAAAAAAACAGTTTTCGCGGGTGGGGGCGGGTGCGGGTTCGGGTGACCCGTTCTCCATTGGGGGCGGGTCTGGGGGTGAATTTCCATCCCCCGGCGGGTTTGGGGGCGGGGGCGGGTCTATTACTGGAGTTGCGGGTGCGGGTGCGGGGTTAGCTAAACCCGCCCCCCGACCCGCCCCGTTGCCATCCCTAATAAACACAACATAATCACCAGACTCAGATGTTTAAATACTTTTTATCCTACTGTTCACAGTGATTTCTAGTGAACAACCGCTAGTCTTCTAAACTATCGAATAAACTTAATTATTGTTACTCAATTTCTCTGGTAACTTGCAGGATCGACTAGATTGATCATATGGAACATAGTTGTTTGGTTAAGTCTAATCGTAAAACTGGTATTCCTATTTAGGACTTCTAATTAAAGTGTTTCGAAGATATCCAATCCACTTCGATTTCTATACTGAATGATTCGAAGGACAATTTCTATATGATATCAGGAAGGTTCTTTAGAAAAGTGTTTAAATGCAGAAAGAAATAAATGACTTCGAATGTAAAGGCTTTAATGTAAAGGCATAAACGTAAAATTGTTTGAAGCACAAATGAAATGGAAGTGAAAGATAAAACTGGAAAATGTAAAGAGTTTTCATTGAATTGTAAATGTTGGTGTTATCATACGTACATCCTTCGAGCATTCGTTTCCCTATCCATGCGGTATTTTGAATGTTTATTGAATTTGTACAACATATATGACACCCTGAAATCCTAACACTAAGACCTCTATTTATACTACTTCGACCATAACGGTCTTGTTATCAGAATCTGCCACGTTCGAAGCATGCAGAGCATTACTTCCCTCTAGCCTCCACGCGTCCTCGAACGTTCCAATGCTTATGTATTTTGAATTTCCAATATCCCGCTCACGTTTGAATTTCAAACGCCTTGGTACCTTCATTTCGAATTCGTTTCGAAAACAACCCTCACAAATATAGTCTCATCGTTATTTCGAACAAGGCTTTAGACTCACACTCCACAACTATCATTCGAAACCTTGAACTTTAATATTTCCATTCGAAACGAACAGTCTCTTTCATTCCAAATCATCAAACTTGCTTTATTCAAACAAAACCCAATCGTCTTATTTCGAATCATAATATCAAAATCTTCAGCCAACACCTACTCCCCATTTTCTAATCAACAAAAGTAAAACAAATAAAAACATAGGGAATAAAAAAAGATATTGAAGAAGATAATTCATTAAACACAAAAATAGTTAGCTTTTGCAAGAAAGACATGTTCAAAACAGTTGGCAAGATAAAATAAAGGGTTTGCTAAAATCCTAAGGCCTAGGGGTTTGCTTTAGAATCTCTAGAATATCTTTGAGATCAGTCCCCATTACATCTTGACTTCCCATCAGACTTCAGCTGAACATCCATCTTTTCTTGCTTGGTAGCCATGACTTCTTGAGCGTTAGAAACATAAGCCATTTTAGCTTCTAATCGCTCTTACCTCTGACTAGATAAGGCTACAGATTAATAGGAGAGATATTTTAGATTATGTAGAACTGAGACCATAGAGGTTGCGAGAGAATCTCACTATGCAACATACACCATAGAGTTAGACGACTCCTCACTTAGTGAGTTGGCTCTCAACCTCATAACAAACCTTAACCACTAGAGGTTGTCACGCATTTGTACTTTTGGCAAGTACAAAATTTATCCCATGTAACTTCCTAGTGTTGACTTCGTCACGCATTGCCAAGTTAAAAGAACAACCATAAGAAATTCTCAATTCATTTATCCATCAACTGACCGCTTAGACTTGGGTTTTAACAAATTATAATTCTGTTTAGACTTTAACTCCAAAAAAGTTTGCTTACAATAAAGTTCTAAGTCCTCTCTAGTCTTCTTATATGTTTGTCTTTCCTTAGACGTTTATTAATGTGTTAAATACACTATAAAAAATATTCTCACTATAAAAAATATTAAAATTATGTTGCAATAAATTATCCTTCTAATAAGAGATATCCCATAAAATACACTCTTTTGCCAAATTTTGTATGTATCTATATCTTGCTATTGTGATAATTTTTCAAATAACAAGTCGTTAGCTGTACACATTGAAATAACCACCTTGAGAAAAACAAAACTTATCAATCAATTATACACTTCTAGAATCAATTTTGTTTCTTCCAAAAATATTTGTTTTGTTTTTAAATGATTTTATAATGTTACATAATTTTATATAAAAAAACTTTATAAAAGATTTGAATAGTTTTTCTTAAAATATTATTTTAGATATTTTATCTTCTTATTGAAATTTTTTTTGAATATCAAAATTTTAAAATATCACTTAATTTTAAAACTATTTCAAATAGATTTTCATAAAAATCATTTTTGAAATACAATTTTTTAAAAAAATTGTGATATTGACTATATTTTGATCTTCAATAATGCGTTTATGTTATAGAATGTCAAATTTAATGTTTTAATTTTAAAAAAACAAATATAAAAATCTTATAATATTTTGAAAAACAGTTTTATAAAATCTATTTTAAAAAACATAAAGAAAAAAGTCATGACTTTTTTTTTAAAAATGAAACAAACTGACCCATAATCAAATATACACTAATTTTATTAAATATTAGTTTTTGGAATAAAGTTGAATTTAAATATTTTCTCTAAAAACATATATTGTCTAACTTCTTTGTAAGCACGTACAAATTTAAATAGAGCCACGTCATCGATCCGCAAGAAAAGAGCTACAGATGCATAACAAGATGAAAGAAGGGATACTGTCGATTGCATAACATGAACGGTCACGGATAAACCAAATGGGAAGACGCGGATCGCAATCGTCATCCATCGATTAAGTTATAATCGACGGCTCACAGTGCTCTTCCCATTCGTTCATTCATTCTCAATTCAACCTTCTTATTAAAATCCCGAACTGAGTAATCTTATTCATTCATTCTCAATTCAATCTTGTTATTCAAATCCTTACAGTTGATAATTTTGAAGGGAAAAATGTCGGGTCGCGGTAAAGGAGGAAAGGGATTGGGAAAGGGAGGAGCAAAGAGGCATAGAAAGGTGCTTCGTGACAACATCCAGGGTATCACCAAGCCTGCAATTCGTCGTTTGGCTAGAAGAGGTGGTGTCAAGAGAATCAGTGGTCTCATCTATGAAGAAACCCGCGGTGTTCTCAAGATCTTCCTCGAGAATGTTATTCGCGATGCTGTCACCTACACTGAGCACGCCAGAAGGAAAACCGTCACTGCCATGGATGTCGTTTATGCTTTGAAGAGGCAGGGAAGGACTCTCTACGGTTTCGGTGGTTGATTCTAGTCTTCAGTCTAGGGTTTCGTTATTCGTAGATGGGTTATGTTGGTTACTTTCAATGACCTCAATGTGTTCTGTTTCTGTTTTTTTATTAGATTAGTCTTACATCTATTTGAAATGAAATGGAACAGCTTGTTCTATATTTCTGTTATGTGTATTTGAAAGTTATTTAATGATGAATGATGAAACTCTAAAAGTTATTTAGTAGATTGTAGAATCTATCAGTTATTTTAGAAAATTTTATGCAAATAATCATTTTATTTTTTTTTATAATTATTATTATTTCCGTTTATTTTTTTAAGTAATCTACTTTTGAACAAATAAAATTGAGTTGAAAAGTTGTTGCCAATTGAATTAACATACATGTAATTAATTCAATTGATGACACCTAATATAAAACTCATGTCGTGTCAATTGGATTGACTACAATACATTTACTTGTCGATTTATTTGATGACACTTATCTTTACAACCACTCACTAATGGCAACACGTATTCGTTTTAAATTTTTGGTTTAAAAGAGTTATTTTACAAAATAAGTGAAAATGATGGTTATATTGAGAATAAAATTGAAAAAGATAGTTACAAAGAATATTTTAATAAAAAATTAGATTAAATATATTTTTAATTTCTATAAAATTATAAAATTTGATTTTTAGACTCTATAAATAAATGTCACGTTTTAGTCCTTACAAAATTATTTATGCACGTAATTTTAGTCATTGTAAAAGGATTAAAACGTTATGCATAAATATTTTTATAAGGATTAAAACATGATTTTTTTTATAAAGATTAAAAATCAAATTTAAAATATTTATAAAGACTAAAATCATATTTAATCTTAAAAAATTTGTAATCTCATTCTTATTATATTATACTATTAAATTATTTTTATTCAACAAAAATAATTATATTAATAAATACATGTAAAACACTTTGAGTATATGTATATGTAAAATTAAAGGTAACACTAAAATATATTGATCATTTATATATAATTTTTTAAATAAAATTTAACTAAATACATAAAATAATTTTACATTTAGTTGTATAAATTTAAAATAATAATAAAAATAAATTTATTATCTAGTATTATACAATAAAATTATCATTTTATTACAAATTTTCTTCGTCTTGGTTGATCACCTTAATCCCCCTCCAACCTTTAACTAACTCGAAAATTATTAACACAACTCGACAATAGTATTGATGAAATTTCTTTGAAGAATAATTTAAATTTCACATCCTATGAATTATTTATAATAGTCACACCCATTATTTGAATTTCTTCGTTTGAGAATTTATTTATGATGGTCAAACCATCATTATTGAATTCTCTTTGAAGAAAAATTTCAATTTCTCGTCCTTTGAGAAATTATTTAGGATAGTCTAATGATCATTATTTGAGAGTGTAATTCTCGAGCGGCTAATTTAGGAGTGTGCATGAATTGGATAAATTCGACAAACCTAACCAAACCCACCTAGACTGACCAAAAAAGTGTCGGGTTAGGTTAATAAGTGAACACAACTTTCAAAAATGAAAAAAAATCAAAATAATTGGATTTTGGGGAAACTCACACCCAAGTCACGAAATCCATAGGTTATTGGATGATTAAATTTTGGATTTTTTTTGTAATTTGTTAAGTGATGACTTTGATGTGTTTAATCTTGGGTGCTTCAATCACAAGCTCTTGAACATTTTTTATTTTGAGTCATGATTTTAACTTATTTAGGATGTCATATTTTGATTATTTGAGTGCTAATTTTTGTAAGTTGTAAGTATTTTATGTATTTTAGATAGACGTAATTGTAATTTTAGTCCACTTATTTTTTTCTCTTCGATTTAAGCCCCTCATTTTAAATTATGGGTTTTTGATCTTGTTTTCAAGTTTTTTTAGGATTTTAGTACTCTATATCTGAGAGCAATTTTTAATGACATGACTTTGATAAGGATGACATGTCATTTTCAAATCCCTTTAATGTGATCATTTTTATTAATTTATAATATTTCATTAATATTAAATTTATTTCAATTATATTAATAATATTAATAATAACTTAAATAATTAACTATGCGTTCTTCTAAATGTATTCTCCTCCATTCCAATGAGAATTACAATTAAAATTTTGTTTGATGATTTTGCTGGTGGTCCTGTATTTGTAAGGATATATGTATGCTTGGAAGTATGTAAGACAATATTTATAAACAGGTACAGACCTCTAATTAAATTAGATGCATGTTTTTTTATAAAATGGAGCCTTGGAGGCCAATTGATAGGGGCTCTTGGCAATGATGTAAATAACAATATGATATCAATAACATATTTAGTTATGGAAGATGAAACAAATGACTCATGTCAATGGTTCTTTTAAGTTATTACTCGATGACCCACAATTCATTCAACATTAAGTTTATGGATTTATCTCAAATCCGCATAAGAGATATTTTATTATTATTTTATCGTTTGTCTTTTATTATGTTATCATTCTTGTCTTTTATTATAGACCTTTATGTTTCTAATTTGTTTATTTAATTTAGGATTTGGTTCCATCTATTCTAGAGACAAGTCAACATGTTGAACATATATTATTTATTAAATATTTATATGGCAATAAGAGGAAGAAATATCCTCAGATAGAGCTAAATGGAGCTTTATGAAGGCTATCTAGGGCCACAACAATACCTAGATGGGAGAGAGAAATGAATCAAATGAAAGAGTTTAATGTTAATGCATGGCAATACAAGATCAAAGTACCCACTGCATGTTGGAGTATATCCCATTTCTAGACAGATACATAGTATGACTTGTAGTTTTACAATATGTGTGAGTTTATTAATAGAGAAATCTTTGAGTATAGAGACAAACCAGTTATTATACTTCTAGAAGGAATTAAATATTACATAGCAATGGAGAATGCCACTCAAACAATTTTTTTAGGCAAGTTCAAAGGTATCATAACTCCTAAAGCTCCATCAAGTCCTAGAAAAAACAAAAACAGGAGTTGAAGGATGAAGTGTAACATGGAATTATGATGACGACTTTGCAATATTTTGGGTGTCAAATAGTGTTGAGACATATTTTGTTAATCTATTACAAATAAATATGCATACATGGGTGAGACATAAGAAATAGTCAAATATAAAAAATGCGGGAATATGGGACATCAAAAACGAACATGTAAAGAGAAGAGGGCCACTGAGAGAGAAATTCTAAATGGTGGAAATATAAAGCCAAAGACAAATGGAAAGAAGTCAAGGAAGGGTGTTGGATAAACAACAATATAATGAGGCTCACAAACACCATAACAAACCCAATCATAGTTACTAGTTTAGGTTTTTGATGTGTTTTGAAGCAAGTGCTAAACAAACAATTTAGTTCCTACATTATTTTTGTATTTTCAAAGGTGCTTATGTAATGAATACAATTTGGACCTATGTTTACGTATTTTGAAAGTTCTGTGATGAATTTAAGACCTATATTGTTTATGATTTCAATGTAATGAAGTTTGATAGAATGAAAATAAGTTGTGTTACAACTGTACTCTTCTGATTGCAAAAAATAAGTTCTGCGATGAAGTTCAATTGAAAAAAAACAGGTTCTAAAAGGAAAGTTATGTGTCGCAATGAATGACTTTTTTTGCCATGAATGAATGAAATGCTTGTTGTTCTGATTATGTTGTAATAAAATGATATTGTTATGATCAATCCTAAAAACATGTTGGGTCAAATTGTGCCAATTATACATTTTGTTTCAAATTGTGTTACAATTTTTGTCAAATTATACATGTTATTTCAATATGTATTATTCCAAAAGTGTTACAATTTCTCTACTAAAAATAGGTTATGTTAAATTAAGTCAAAGTTTTGTGGAAAAATTGTGCAAATTACAGTCAAATTGTGTCTAATTGATAGTTAAGTTTATGTCTAAAATTGACAATCTGATTGTGTGGTTAAATTGTGCCAAGTTGTGTCAAATTGTGTCAAATTATAGGCTATATAAGTTACGCCAAATTACATTATAGGTATTTCCAAATTACAGGTTATGCCATATTACATTACAAGTCGTACAAATTAATATAGTAGACACATGTCTGCCAAATCAATACATGTTTCACAAGTTATGCAAAACATCTAACATGTTATGCCAAATTACAGGTCTGTCAAATTAATACATGTTTCACATGTTATGTTAAACTTATCATTTCATTAATACAAATAAATTACACAGGAAATCAAATTGCACAAGAAAACATATAACCCTAATTTCATCAATACAAAAATATTATATAACTTTAATACATGTGTTACAACTAATGTTAATACAAGTAACAATACAAACACCAATAACGAACTCAAAAAATAGCCCATAAGTTTATTATTCATCTTCAACAATTATTCGTTTTTCTTTGTGTCACTAATTAAATCCCTAAACTCATTATTCTCGTCTTTCAAAGATCTAATCACATCCTTTGCAGGTGATAACACCAAAACATATTGCATATTTGACTCGATTTTCACATGTTTAATCATTATTGTATTATCATCTCTAGTGTTATGTTGGTGTTTTGTCTATTTTTCAGGTATTTGACCATATGAGAGACCTACAGAAGAAACAAAGCAAATTGGATGGAAAACAGAGAAAAAGGAAGAAATTGCACTCTAGTAGTTTAGCATGGCATTCGCTATGGAGAAATCCATAAGAAGAATGACGTGTCCCATTCACTAACTGTCAAAAGACCAAGTGTTCCCCCATTTTAGGAGGATGGCGTTCGCCACAAGAGGATGGCGTTCGCCATCCTTTGTACTTTTCAGGCGGTTGGAAAATGGGCTTGGGCTTGGTCTCCACTTCCTCCACTCCTCCCTACATCCTCTCACACGAAATCAACAACCACTACTTGACATTTTAGGTTTTCTAAGCATTATAAATAGTAGTTACTTTTCACTTTTCAGGGCATCCAAGCTTAACACAATCTTAAACACTATATCTACCGATTAGTGT